AAACAGGGAAAATCTGGGAAAAACTGAGAAAACCAGAGAAACAGGGAAAGCAAAGAAACGTGAAGGGAGTACCTAAGGAAATCTGTCATGGGCAGCCACTGAATCCAGCTCATTTTGGGAATATCAGCTGTGCTACATGAAAAATAAGGGCTTTGAGACATTTTGGGCAAACTCACATCAGTGTGTGTGCCCTCCCTTGTTCCCTGGCTCATTCCTTCCGTTTTCCTCCGATCGTTCCCGACGTTTAGAGCGTTCTACATCGTGGTGGTGCCTCTGAGGAAGTCCCGAGGAGGACAATTCCTCAACCCCCTGGGCAGCCCTGAGGAGATGGACCTGGAGGAGGTGAGTAAAGTGTGAGTAAAGCCAGGCTCAACTTGGGGGGAGAATGAACAGCAGGGATGGGGTGGTGACCCCAAAACTGGGAGGGAAATTTGGGGTGACCCCACATTTAAGGAGTGGTTGGTTTGAGGGTTAGTTTGGCTCGTTTTTTCCAGGGTTTAAGGGTTTTCTGTGCTTTCTCCAGCTGGTCCAGGACATCGCCCGGCTGCGKCGCCGGAGCCTGCGGCACTCGCGGCAGTTGGATTTCCCCAAACCCTACATTGCCGCCCGCTTCCGCTCGCTGCCCTCGCACTTCGTCCTGGGCGACATGAAACACTACGACAACTTCGAGAATCGCGCCCTGGAGCCGGGGCAGAGATATGTGCTCTTCATCCTGGCAGTGCTGCAGGAGCCTGAGGCTGTAAGTGATGGAAAAAACCCGTGAGGAATGGCTAAGGGAGATGGGGGTGTTTATTCTGGAGAAAAAGGAGGCTCAGGGGTGGCTTTATGGCTGTGTCCAAGTTCCTGAAGGGTGGCTGTGGGTAGGTGGGGTCGGTCTCTTCTCCCTGAGTGAGGGGACACAGCTGCACCGATTTGAGGTTGGGTATTTTAAAAAAATTCTTCACTAAAATGGTGAATTGTCTGCCCAGGAAGGTGGTGGAATCACTGTCCCTGGAGGTGTTTGAAACAGACTGAACGTGGCGCTCGGTGCCAGGGTTGGGTTGATGAGGAGGTGTTGGGTCATGGGTTGGATTTGAGGATCTTGAAGGTCTCTCCCAGCCTGGTTCATTCTGGGATTCTGGGATTCTGTGATCCTGTGATCTTGGGATTCTGTGATTCTGTAATTTTGTGATTCTGTAATTCTGGGATTCTGTGGTTCTGTGATTCTGTGAATCTTTGGTTCTGGGATTCTGGGGTTCTGGGATTTTGTGATTCTGGGATTCTGGGATTCTGTGTGATTCTGTAATTCTGGGATTCTCTAATTCTGGGATTCTGGGATTCTGGGATTCTGGGATTCTGGGATTCTGGGGTTCCGTGATGGAGAACCTCTCAGCCCAGGACGAGCTGACCTTTGATGAAGGCAGGTTAACACCATTAAACTGTTCCACTCAGTGCCAGGGTTTGGTTGATGAGGAGATGCTGGGCCATGGGTTGGATTTGATGATCTTGAAGGTCTCTCCCAGCCTGGTTCATTCTGGGATTCTGGGATTTCCCAGCCCTCTCCCATCCCTGGGTGTGGACCAGGTCGCTGCCCCAGCCCTGCTGCCCTCCTGGCACCCCTGGGTCCTTGTGCCTTCCCAAGCTCCAAGCCAGGGACACGAGTAGCTGGGCTTCTCCCAGCCTTTGTGAGCAGAATTTGTACCCCTGTGGCTCCAGCCTGGAATCCAGAATGGAGTCAGAGAGCCCTGGGTCAAACCTCTTTTTGGAGACAAATTCCCTTTAAAGGCTGTTCTTTAACTCCTCAGARCAGTGACCCCAAACATCCCGCTCCAAGGGCACTCTGGAATCCCCTCCAAGCACTGAGGGGAGCATTTCTTCACAACAAACATTTTTGAAAATGCTCTCTCCCAATTCTACACCTCTGCTGTTTTCRCTGGGGCCGTGCTTGGCTTTAGGAAAACAAATATTTTCATATTTACCTGCCTCCTCCCTCACACACACAATGGGAACCAGCCTAATGCTTTGTTGTTTTTAAATCCCCCTGTGGAATTGTAGCAGGGAGCTATTGAAAATGAAGGGTTTCCAGAGGGTTTTTTTTTCCCCCCTCCAATAAATATTTAGTTGTGTATTTGATATTAAAGGATTAGGCTGACACGCTGCTGAATGGGTTTCTCAATCGGATTAGTGCAGCTTGTGGTAATTTTTGCTTTAGAACAAGGTGCTGCAGGGTCCCTCCCYGTGGATCCTGAGTGAGGAGCAGCCATTTCAGCCTGCTCAGAGCTGCTGGGGTTCAAGGACTCAAAATCCTTTTTCTCATCCTGTYCCTGCCCTCCCAAACCAGGCCGTGCCAGTTTTCTGTGCCAGCTCCATTTCTGGAATTTCTGTGTGGGACTGATGCCTAAAACAAGGCTCACCTGAAACAGAGGCCAGACAAAGTTAACAGAATAAAAGCAGGCATAAATTTAATTATTTATTTTATTTATTTAAATTATTTAGATTATTTAAAATAAATTTAATCCAGGCCTGCTGGTACATTGAGGGCAGACAAAGCCTCCTCCTGAGGCTACACCCAAAATGGACCCTGAGTAACAGATCTTCACCTTTTATAAGTTCTGTCTTATGAACATTTTGGGTCTCAATTCCCAATTACACCTTCAGGTGATGATGTGAATCCCCCCAAATTTACTTCCCCAAATTCTCTGTTGTTTCCATTTTTTGGGGCTCTGAGGCAGTGAGATGTCCTTGGATTTCAGGCTCAGAGAGGGAATTATTTTGTCTAAAGATTGGCAACAGCAGCTTTAGTACTGTGCACTGGAGGAGTACCAGAACACAGACACATAAAAATACAGAAACTAAAAATCCTAAAGCATCAAGATGGGAACTCCTCCTCCCTGGAATGGGTCTGTCAGGGCTCTGAGGGGTTTCAGGTGCTCTGATCCTCYTCAAGATCCCAGCTCAGTGCAGAGGCAGCGCAGGACTCACGCTGTGTTTTACCACTTCGTATTTATTTTCCAGGATTGTTTTTTTTTTTTTTTCAGTCACCAGACCAAGCGTTAATTCTTGAYTTAATCCCTTGCCTCTCGCTCTGTAATCCTGTCTGACTGTCAAAATCCAGATGGTTACGTGGGAGCTTGGGAGAAGTGTTTGTTTTTTTGTGGCTGTGGTGAGGGCTCAGGGATGGGGTTTGTTGGAGAAATTCATCTTCCTGGCTGGCAGAGGGGCTGAGCCATGGGCACAGGGCAGGCTGCAGCCTCACAGGGGTGAGATTTCTCAAAGATTTGTCTCATTGCAGCACTGAGGATCCCCATCCTGTGGATATTTAGGGTTTTTTCCCCGTTCCATTTGGGCTGTGCTTCACAGAGCTCACACCCTCTCCGTCAGCTCCTCCCAAAATCGTGTTTTCACCCATTTCCCAGTCCCCATCCCCTCTCTGAGCTGTTTTCCACCATTTTCCATGTCTTGCAGACCTATGCTGCCAGTCCTTTCTCCGACCCCATCCAGCTGGACAACCCTGACCCACAGCCCATCATCGAYGGTGAGGAGGGGCTCATCTGGGTCATCGGGCCCGTGCTGGCCGTGGTCTTCATCATCTGCATCGTCATCGCCATCCTGCTCTACAAAAAGTAAGAGCTGCCCACGCCTGAGATGGTTCTGGGTGTCCCCAAMGTTCCCTAAAGGGTTTTTTTGACTTGGTGATGAGGGTAAATTGTTCCTTGGGMACTATGGAGAGTCTGCCCAGCACGGAAGAGTTTTAGGGATTTGGTGCTTCAGGTTCTTGCCCAGGAGAGATGTTCTGGTCCTACAGACCCTCTCCTTGCTCCATGGGCAGGGAGAGACGCAGGGAAGGCACCTCAGAGCTGTGGGGCAGAGAGAACCCCACTGCTCTCAGATTTCCTGCTAGGGCAGGGGGTGAGTTTTTGGGAAGGAGAGAAGGGAAAATCCCCCAAATGTCTCTGTTTTCCTTGGCTTTCTGAGCAGCTCATGGTGTGAATGAGGATGAGGATGAGGATGAGGATGAGGATGAGGATGAGGATGAGGATGAGGATGAGGATTGGGGTCTCACCCACGACAGGAGAAGGGGACAAGAAGGGGAGCAGGAGCTGAGCAAAGTCAATAATGGTGACAATGGTTGGCACAGAGGTGTCCTGAGCTGGGATGGAGCTCCCTGAGCCTTCCTCCACCTTCCACCTGCCCAGGTGTGTCCCCTATGGTGACACAGACATGTCTCTGCACCCAGAGTGTCACCCTGCTCTGGGGACAGGGGCTGGGAGGGTCCCTGCTGGTGTCCAGCTAACTGGGTGACCCTTGCTGGTCTCAGGATTAGAGCTGAGCAAATCCTTCCCTTCTGCCAGTCCTTTCTAACCTCAACATTTGTTTTGTCTTCTCTCCGCTTGCTGCTTTCCTGGACAGCAAACCAGACAGGTAAGAGCACCAAATTTGCCATTTTTTCAGGTTTTTTGCTTTGCTGTGTGTCCAGCAGGGTTTGCTGTGTGGTTTTGGGGCTTTGTTGRTGCAGTTCCTACCTGACAGAAACTCTGGGTCAGATTGGTGTGGGACCACATTGGGATTGGGGCACAAAAGGCAAAATCCTTCCTCGAGCACCAGCTTTCCTCCACTTTACTGAATAAAACAGCCCTTCCTCAGGCTGAGCAGCAGTGACAGTAAATGGCTCATAAAGTGGGGGGTTAATGGAGCAGAGAAACACTCATTTGTGTGGCAGGCAGAGGTGAAAGTGGGTTTTTTCTCCGTGTTTGGCTGCTCCATCCGGGCTGTCCCCGAGCCCTTGGCATGGAGAGCCGGATCTCTGCCCCTCTGCAGGAGCTGCTCCTGCCCTCTCAGCCAAGCCTTTCTGACAGATCCTGTTTATGACTGCAGAAATGAGACTTTTTTTCCCAACCATTTCCAAAAGTGAAAGAGTGGAGATAACTGATGGGTTCAGCCCGTGAACTGTGGACGGCGCTTTCGGGGCTGCGGCAAAAATAAAAGCGCTCCTGAACCGCAGAGCGGTGTCGTTCCAAAATGCTGCCCCACGCAGGGCTGGCAGGGCTGACACCACTTCTTCTGGATGTTAATGACATCAGGAGGCAGCTCTGAATGTCCTGAATAACCTCCTYTCTGCCGAGGTGATTGCCATTGCTGCTGCAGGCAAATTATCAAAGGTTTCTGTGCACCCTGAGCAGGAGAGGTGAGGATGGAGCCCAAATCCAGCTCACCTAAASCAGAAACTGGASAGAATTSAGAGAATCAAAATAATTTCCATTTATTGCAGGGYCTTCAGGGCCATTCAGGGCAGTCCCACACCCACAATGGACAATGGCTCACGGCTTTTTCACCCTTTCTCACTTTTGTCCATTTTGGGGCTGAATCCTCCAATTGCAGCTGCAGCCAATGCAGTCAAAAACTCCAACTTGGCTCCCCCCAATTCTCTGTTCTTTCCATCTCTTGGGGCCTGGCCCAGGGAGGTGTCCTTGAGTTTGGGGCTGCAGAGGAATTGTTTTGTGTAAAAATGGGAGAGCAGGAGCTCAGCACTATCTGTGGAGTCTGGAGTTCAACACTGGAGAATTCCAGGATTACAGGCCCATGAAAACAGATAAATCCTGAGGTATCAGGGGTTCTGGAAGGACTGGGTTCCCTCAACCCTTTCCAAGCCAGGGGTTGAGGTCCACATTCTGTGCTCTCTGCACAAACTCAGCTCCCAGCAGCTCCTGGCCATTCCCACACCGAGGTTATCACATCTTTAGATCAGCACCAGGCTCTGCTTGGAAATTCTTTTCAAGGGGAACGAGCCAGGTCAGCAAAGACTTTTTCAACTGCCTCAGCTAACTGAACCCATTTGGAGGGAAATAAATTGGGAAGCACTTCCATGTGCAGCTCAGCTGGCGGGTTGGAGCAGGCTTGGCTCCTGGAGAAGAGGATCTCAGCAGGCACAGCTGTGCTGGGAGAGGACGTGTCTGCACTGTTTTGTTGAACCCAGACTTTTAGGGTTCTGCAGCTCAAAAAAAAAACATGGAAAACTACTGCTGTGACTCCTCTGTCTGCAGCAGAGAGGCTCTGAGAGCTCCTGAACGAGCCAGCACCGATGTCAGTGTGGGACATCCAAGGTCATGGCCAGCAGGTTTTGTATTTTTCCAAACGATTCWGCTGTCTCAGGCTGCAAATGGCTCGGCCAGAGTTGGAAGGTTTTCACTCTGCAGAGTTCACTGCTGGTTTGGGATAAAAGGGGAACTTCCAGCCTTGTCCTAAAGCTGCTGAGGGGCTGCAGAGCCGCTGTGCCAACCCCTCAAACACAGCCCTGACAAACCCTCCAACCCCTGTCCCGTTTCTGATGGTTTTATGTGCTCACACCCCTGCTGCACCTCTGATTTTCAGTCAGAGCTTTGCCTGTGCCTGAATGTGAGTGGCTGAGAAGCAGCTGAGACTCCCCCAGAAGCTGAGCCACCTTTTCTTTCTGGTTTTTCTGTTTCTTTTTGGGGTTTGTCRCGAAGCAAACGGAAAGACTCCGAGCCGCGGACCAAGTGCCTCCTGAACAACGCCGAAATCGCCCCCCACCACCCCAAGGACCCCGTGGAAATGAGGCGAATCAACTTCCAGACYCCAGGTAACCGGCTGCTGACCAGCCTGTCCCGCTGGGAGGGCAGGAATGGAGCCCCTGCCCCTTCCTGAGCCCTTCCTGAGCCTTTCCCAAGCCCTTTCCGAGCTCTCCCTGCCTGCCCAGAGCTGCTGGAGAGCTGGCACCAACSTGGGCACAGCCAAGGAACCCCAGCCTGGCCTGTGCTGAGAGAAAACCTTCGCTGGGATGCTCCTGGCAAGGCAGGAAGGAGGTTTTTCCTGGATTTCCATAGAAATTGTTGCCTTCTGGGCATTTCTGGGCACGGATTCAGCGCCGTGGCTGTGCCGGGCACACTGGAGTGCCAGCTGGGACACACCACAGTGCTGCCCAGTGCCCACTGCTCCATCCACGCCTGGAACTGGGCATTTCTGGTGCCAAACCACCCCTGCTGGGTGCCAGGGCTGCCCCTGGGCTGGGCAGGAGGAAGGAGCTGCTGTTGGTGCAGATGGGGCAGCGTGTCCTCACTTGGTGCAGGTGCTGGCACCGAGTCCCCGGATGGGACCTCAAACCCCATTCAGCACCTTCCACTGTCCCTGGCTGGTTTGGGTGGGCAGAGACCTCAAAACCCACCCAGTGCCACCCGGGGCAGGGACACATTCCACTACCCGAGACTGGTTTGGGTTTCAGATGCCTCAAAGCCAATCCAGTGTCACCCTGTGCCACAGCCAAGGACACTTTCCACTGTCCCAGACTGGTTTTGGAGGGCAGGGACCTCAAAGCCCATCCAGTGCCACCACCTTCCACTGCCCCAGGCTGGTTTGGGTTGGAGGAACCTCAAAGCCCATCCAGTGCCACCACCTTCCACTGTCCTGGACTGGTTTGGGTTGAAGGAACCTCAAAGCCCATCCAGTGCCACCATGGACAGGGACAACTTCCACTGTCCCAGGATGATTTGGGAGGGCAGGGACCTCAAAGCCCATCCAGTGCCACCCCGTGCCACTGGCAGAAATTCCTTCCACTGTCCCAGACTGGTTTGGGATGGGGAAGGACCTCAAAGCCCATCCAGTGCCACCTCGTGCCATGGGCAGAAACTCTTCCCACTGCCCCAGGCTGGTTTGGGTTGGAGACACCTCAAAGCCCATTCAGTGCCACCCCATGCCATGGGCAGGGACACCTCCCACTGTCCCAGGATGATTTGGAAGGGCAGAGACCTCAAAGCCCACCCAGTGCCACCCCATGCCATGGGCAGGGACACCTCCCACTGTCCCACAATGGTTTGGGTTTAGGACACCTCAAAGCCCACCCCTGGGTGCCACCACCTCCCACTGTCCCAGGCTGCTCCAGGCTTTGTCCAGCCTGGCCTTGGGCACTGCCAGGGCTGTCCCAGGCTGTCCCTACAGCTCTGATCTCCGGGCAGGGGCTCAGTGTCCCCTCCCTGCTGCACCCCACGTGTCCCCATGTCCATGCATGTCCCGGCTGCCTGCATGGCACCTCTGCCAGCTGCCACCAACACGCCTGGCACGGACAGACACTGCCCCAGTGCCTGCCCACGCCTCTGCCTCCACCTTCCTGGTGCTGGAGGATTTGGAAGGGAATTGATTGTGCTTTTTTTGGGGGCTGGCTGTTGTTTTCAGTTTGTTTGTATTTTGTTTTATTTTTCTCGTTGTTTTGTGCTCGTTAGTGATGTTSTGTAGCTCCTGTTTGCCCTTCCTGTCCCAGTCCTGTCTGCAGCGTTGTCGGATTTTCCTCGGGGTCGGGTTGGCAATGGGGAYACCCAGAGAGGGCAGGGATTTGTAGGGAACACAAAGGCAGCTCTGAACTAAGGGGTTCTGACCAAAATGAGTTGGGAACCACCCAATGATCAGCCCAAAGTTGGGAATGGCGAGGTGAGGCATCCCTCAGCGGTTCACTGCAGGGACAGCAGCTCAGCCCAGGTACATCCCTAAATCTCCTCTTGCTGAGCTGCTCCTGGAAATTTCAGGAGAATTTGGAGCTGTTTGAGATCTTTTGGGTACTCCCAGCAGTTTGCTCTTGTCTGGAAGGGGAATTCCAGGGGAGACCCAAGAGAAGGAGCTGCTCTCCCCTCGGGTAAAAAGAGATAAAAAATAAAATATTGTGATCTTCCAGTTTGGTTTTGGTGCCAAGAAGCAGCTGGAAGTGCTGGTTCATGTGTTTCCCTGAGCGGGAATTTTTGGGAATCCCACAGARTCAGCTGAGGGTGCTTCCATCAGGTTATGGGATCGATGGATCAGAGTCAACCTAGTGACCCCATTGCTCTGGTCATGCTGAAATTCTCAATTCTGGCTCTGACAGGCTTGTRAAAGGCAGCTGAGACATCAAAACCTGCACTGAGGCTCTGCAGATCCCAAAAAAACACCGGGATGTGTCTGGTCTGGCTTTAGGAAGATCCTTTCTGAGTTTATCTGGTCAGAGCTGTGTCACTCCTCTATAATCTGTGAAGCACTGAAAGGTTTTAAAGGATTTKGGGGGGCTGATCATTTGCCTCCCACAGAATTTTGGAAACATTGGGTGAAAATAGAAAGGGATGGAAAAATGAGCTTGAAGTGCGGAGAGGTCGTGGTGCAGTTTGCAGAGGAAGAATCTTGGAGTTAAAGGTGTTTAAATTCAATATTTTGGGGTTCTGAGGGGCCTGTAGGGTCCTCCCCAGACAGGTGAGCCCAGGTGAAATCTCCATGGTGTCCCCAGCAGTAGAGAGGCCATGGGAATGGGAATTGCAGCTCAGAGAGGGGGACAGCACAGCACGCCTTAGATACCCTGTCCTGATCAGCACAAAAAAAAGTACCTTTCTTTTCCTCTTTAGATTTATGTTGTTTTTTTTGTTTCTTTTTTTAATTAGCATGAAATTTTTACGAAAGTGTACCTTTTATTTATTTATTTTTTACTGTTTTCTGCAGATTCTGGTCTGAGCAGCCCTCTCAGTGACCCTGAGTTTGACTTGGAAAGTTAGTTCCTGTGTGTTTTTGTTCCTGTTGGTTTCATTTTTCTCCCCCCCCCAACTCCCATTATTATTTTCCTCTTCTATCACTTTCCTTTCCGATTCTCGTTCTTCCGTTCCTGTTGCTATTTCTTGATTTCCTGCCCAATTCTCCGTTTTCCTGCGGTGTTTGCCCATCTCATCCTTTCTCTGTGCCATCTGTGTGTCTCAACTGCGCTTCCAGTTTTACAGTTTCCCGTCAGAGTCCTTTGCCAGGACATGGGGGTGGYTTCAGGAGCATCCAGGGCTGTCCTGACCCCCTCAGAAGATGGCCCGTGGCTGCTGCTTGGCTCAGTGTCCTTGGTGTCCCCTGTTTTTTGTGTCCTGGTGTCATGGGGGGGTCGTGTTTTGGGGTGGGGAAGAGAAAGCGGAGCTGCAGCTGCTCATTCCTCGCTATGGAAAGAGTCAGTGTTCTGTGGCAGGAAGGAAAAAAGGGACAATTCCTGCCTGGGACAGGGAAAAGGGACAATTCCCAGTTGGGACAGGGAAAAGGGACAATTCCTACCTGGGACAGGGAAAAGGGACAGTTCCTAGCTGGGACAAAGAAAAGAGAAAATTCCCAGCTGGAGCTGGCAGGGACAGGGACAATTTACACCTGGGATAGGCAGGGGAAAGGGACAATTTACACATGGGACAGGGAAAAGGGACAATTCCCAGCTGGGATAGGGAAAAGAGACAATTTACACCTGGGACAGGCAGGGAAAAGGGACAATTTACACCTGGGACAGGCAGGGAAAAGGGACAATTCCCAGCTGGAGCTGGCAGGGACAGGGACAAGTTAAACCTGGGATAGGCAGGAAAAAGGGACAATTTACACTTGGGACAGGGAAAAGGGACAATTCCCAGCTGGGATAGGGAAAAGGGATAATTCCCACCTGGGACAGGGAAAACGGACAATTCCCACCTTTGGTAGGTTCAAGGGACAATTCCCACCTGGGACAGGCAGGAAAAAGGGACAATTTACACCTGGGACAGGGAAAAAGGACAAATCCTACTTGTGACAGGTCCAAGGGACAATTCCCACCCGTGGCAGCTCCTTGGCACTGAGTTTTCCCAGGATCACCAAGACCAGATCCCACTCCAGGGACCTGCACCCCCCTGAATTCCACRGGAACATCTCCAACCTGTGATCATCTCCACCAAAACCATCTCCAGGGTGGTTTTATGGGGTGAACGGGCACCGAGCAGATGTTTAGGGTGACATTTCTGGTGACTTGTGCAGAGAATTGAGTCTTTGGTGATGAGATTAGAGAGATTCCACTGGGTAGATGAGAGCAGCTC